TCAGAATTTGGTGGGACTGGGAAGGTATAGTGCACTGGGAAATGCTCGAACGAAACGCCACAGTCAACAAGGACCTCTACATTGCCCAGCTGCACCGTGTAAATGAGGCAATTCGAATGAAAAGACCCGATCGACAAGGTCAAGTCATCCTACTCCACGACAACGCCAGGCCGCATGTTGCACAAGTCGTCAAACCCGCACTCCAAGAGCTCGAATGGGAGGTTAGACGCTTTGACGATTTTTCTGCTTCTCCTCCAAAGTCTATTAGCAATTGTTGTTCCGTTTTTTGAGCGCACTACATACCATAGAATTGCAGCCGGTCTTTGATTGCTATTACAAAATTCTCTAGCTGGACCTTCATGGAGTAAAACGCTGCACGATAGTTGCAGGTAAGGGGCCATTCGAACTGACGCGTTGTAGTGAACGTCACCAGTAAAATTCAAGAATTCTGGATTAACACTTCAAAACTGCAATGCCTCCCATAACGTTCATTGCCCAGCAAAAAAACGCATTTCGCCCAACACAGGGATGCAACGTGTTAATTGAAAACTATTCTGCAGTATAAGAAATCCAATATGGTTGATTTCCCTCGCGATTCAAGCTCTTTTCACCCAATTCAATTCGTTGCCTGTTTATTGCGTGCTTTTGCCATTTTTTCACAGAATTTCTATTGGATGAAAATTCTCGTGAGAATCACCTGGTGGCGGGAGAAATCCACATTTGCGAATCACCGTCACCTCGTTTGTCACGTTGTTGGGATTCATGTAAAAAGTGAAAACCTGGAATCACATCAATCGGCTCTACTGACAAGAAAGGCAAACCCTTCAAAGAGCGCATAACTCACCTGAGAATACGCAAAGACTGGCCAAAGAAGTACCATCACACAGCCGAGAGCGATTACTACTTGAAGAGCAGCATACTGAAATTCATGCATTAAAGAAGCACTGCTGAGGTCCAATCCTCGCTAATAGCGTAGTGGTGAACCGCTTTTCTGAAGTTTAGAGTGATTAGAGTCGGTAGTATTTTTCTGAGTAGGATCGGTGCTTTGTTTTAATGTTCCATTTTCTAATGCGAAAATTCTTTAGTCAGCAAATTCGAATTCCAGTTCCAGTTCGCCGCCGTAAGACACAAAAACAGCGGTTTTTTTTTTTTTTTTTTTCTCAACAGAATGCACCAGACAATACAAGTAATCATAGGGTGACGGAAAGCTCTATCACTTTTTTTCAAATTGGGCTTTATTTTTATATAGAGGCGTGTAAATCAAAATTGTACAGCAATGCTTCTGCGGGATCCTTGCCTTGAGCACCTCATGGATGCCATCGCTTCACAATGCAGGGAGACGCGATACAAAGTTGGACATCATCTCAATCTTGGCTTGAACTCAGACTTTTCGAGGTTTTCTCGTAATTTCTCGCCAGGTCACGATGATTACGGGAGCAACTCGCAGATTAGAATGCTATGTCTGTGCCTTATCACCCACTGCAAGGGGAGAGCCATCCAGATCTATCTGCATAAGGAACGGCTAGATTTTTTTGGAGTGCGCTTCACTATCAGAAGCATCTGGAGGGGTCGGTGGCGCGATGGTAGCGGATAACACTCTTGTCTATATTGCAGAAGAAGAAAAAGCAGGAATCAAGCTGTGGTTCCCGCCAACCTAATATTTAATATTAATTGTTATTTTAATAATTGTCATGATTATTATTATTGCATATATTTTGATGTAGCGGGGAGAAGAGCAGAAGAGCCTGTCCCCACAGCTCTATTCAGGAACAGCTATGATCTATTCTCAATGCACCTTCAGAGCTCAGACATGTAAATCTCTCATAAAAGACCTTTCGAGTTTTCGGAAAAAATTGAAATCTCCCCCAGCAGTTGCTCTTTCTAGCCAGCGTGGAGGAAATTATTATGGATATTAACTGTTAAATTTTCTTAAACTTAAACTTTTCGGAGATTTTCTCTCCTCCTCTGATGCCAGACATAATTTTTGTTACATTATTTACCACTCGCTCCTCACTCAAGGGAAAGGTATATTGCTCAGGGGAAAGGAAAGGTATATTGCAACCGGAGAGATGAGACGTTTCCCGAGAATTGATTTAGAGTTGCTAAAAGTTTGGGCCGAGGTAGTTCGACGGCTCAAAGACAATTCCCGCATCAGTGTTGGGGGTGGTTGGTGCTATATCATGAACCAGTATCCCATCGGTAACTCCTTACAACTTGTTAGTAGAAAAAGAAGCGAATAAAAACCCCTGGAACACGCTAAACACAGACTTCACCTCAGCAGTCTTGGACGAGTACGCATATTATAGTATTTAATACCTTCTACTGCGACCAGAATCCCTCATACCCGCGCCACAGCCCCTGGAGCTACGAGCCAGTTAGGCGTTGGCTCTGCTAGGCGTTTTCCCGTCATGAAGGTGTGATAGTCATATTCGGAGGGAAAACTATCCTCAGTGGGGAATTTTCAAGGATATTTACTCACGGGAATAGCTGCTGCCAAAATCTGACACAAGTTTAGACTAGTGAGTAGTAAAAGTAAGAACTTCTAGCTCGCTCTTTTTCAGTTGAGCTTTAGTCCGGATGAGCTCACCTTGCTGGTATAGAGTTGTGCGCAAGGTAAAGCAAAAAAATTAACCACAATCTTTCATTCATTTCATTCTGATCATTTTTCATTTTAATTTGGTTGAGAAGTGGTCTCGGTGTTACTTGTGACTCAATAGATGTTGAAACAAAAATCAAAGAATCAAATCAATCATACATTACTGACCTATCAACTGATATTTATCGGCTACTATAGCCTCTGGCTATGCAAAGTATGTACCTACCTTCAGAGTGGCAGCTCGCTCTCCCCTGGCTTTGTCAAGGCAAACGGTGGTGTAGCAGGTTCTGCTGATCAGAAACACGATGATTGGAGCGACAAATCTGGAACGAAATTTAACCTTTAAAAGATTTTATTCATCAGCAAATATCAGCTGAGCAAAAAAGGGCCTTTTGGTTTCTTTGCTGAAATGATTTTTGAAGCTGAATTAGAGGAGTCACGTCTGGAGAACCGGCTTACTAGGCGCGCAGCGAGGTCAAATCAAAGGCCTTCTGCAGCGCGAGCCAACTTTCCGCTCTTTTGAGGCCGTTGAAATCGGTTTCCATATACGTTTCTGGGAGGATAGAATCAATGGACTGTACATCAGTTATGGAACAATTCTAACTCAAAAACCTCCACGAATCTAAATGGAAGTAAAATGCGTGGCGCATCCGAAAGTAAATTCGAATCGATCGAATATCGATCAGTTTGGAACTCTTCGTCCTCGAGCTTCTGGCCGATTATCCAGGATTGAAGAGGCTCATGCTTGTACTGGCCGTGAACGAATTGTCGTATCAACTCACTTGTTCATAGAATCCAGCACAAGGTATGAAGTACATGTGGCAGTACTGAATCGCCATGTACCAAACACGAGCTCTATGATCAGCAGCAGCATTGCTGAAACCAAAATCAGATTAAAATCAACACAGTATTGAAACTCTTCAGAGCAAATTTAATGACGTACCGATCATAGTGGTCAAATCGCCGATAACCAAAGCGAAAATGAAGAACAGAATGCTTTTCGGCACCTGAAAAAGTGAAAGAACGTGTCTCCGAACATATGGGCTGTAAAGCACACACATGGTCGATATGCCTTTTTCAAGGAAGGTGTTCTATAAGAGCCCTGTCACGCCACAACATTCCGACCCAAACGCCCGCCACCCCCAATGGACGACCGGACGACCGTTTCTTACGCTCGAACTGATTCATTTCCCAAGTAAATATGAAGCGAAGGGATT